GATAGGCCCGCGAGCAATCATCCATTTTCTTCGCCGGCCGCGGCGAGCCGTATGTCCCGCCTGCCGTGTCGCCGCGCTCTGATATGCTCAACTATTTTAATTAATATCTCAAAATTTTACATGGTTGTTTGAAAAATAGCCTATATAATATTTGTTCACTTTAATGTGTTCTACCTATATTTTTCTTTTGGTCCGTCTTACGCGGGACACCCTGTATATATATATATATATATATATATATATATATATATATATATATATATATATATATATATATATATATATATATATATATATATATATATATATATATATATATATATATATATATATGTGTGTGTGTGTGTGTGTGTGTGTGTGTGTGTGTGTGTTTGCGCGCGCGCGTGCGCGTGTATGTGTAATGATAAATATATAAAACTCTGTACATGTGGATTGGATCAAACTATATAAAAATTCCACTATTTTGCAAATAATCACTTAAAATTCTGAGTTAATAATTAAAGAAGAATGGTGAAAGATTACGTGGAATACAGTGAAAGATGTAACGATAAGTACGATTTGTATTTCGTACTTGTTACAACATTGTACAGGTCAATTTGAGCAAAACAGTTCTTTCTATTTTGCAAATTATTACGTAGATTTTTTAGTTACTAATTGAAAAAGATTGCGCGCAATCTTAATTTGCATGTACACAAAAGTTTTATATGTATCGTCAAACACTCTGTATAAGCTGCATCACGTAATTAGTTAAATTCTAATCCTTTTTTCGTCGAAGATGTAAAAGAAATGGTGCAGACAAAAGTTAAAAGGTATAACAAGGTGTGTTTTTATTTGTTACGGGTTTCCGGTTTGGTACCGATTTGTTTTTGATATTTTGTGAACATTCCAGTTCGTTTTAAGGAGAGGAAACTGATATATTACCTTACTTTCTTGTATGTGGGTGTGTATGCGTGCGTATGTGTGCGCGTGCGTGTGTGTTGTGTGGACGCGCGTGCATCAAACACTTTTGTCTGCCAGATTCAGTTTCTGAGATATTCGACTGGCTTGTTTAAAAAAGGATCCTATAAATACAAGGTGGCCCACTTAAATCAAGCACCTTAAATTTCTTATTTGTTTTTGATGATATAAAAAAATATGTAAGCAAAAAGCTATACCGTTTGAAGAAGCAATTATAATGACAAAGTTTTTTTCTTTTCAAGGCCATTTTTTTAGAAATTTGAAGGTCAAAATAAGTTTTTTAAAATAGAATTACATGTTTTTGTTTATGCGCTTTAATAGCCAACATCGGTTCAGCGATCTATGACAACATGATCTTTAAATGATTTTGAATTCCGTATGTTTGTGAAAAAGAAAAGTCAAACATTCATGCTAACACAAAAATTTATTTAAGGAGATGTTTTTCTTTCGTGTAATTATTCATACTTTAATCGATCGCGAAAATCTCAGGAAATATTGAACTACGAAAACATTTCACGATTTTCTAAATAGTAAAATGTATGTTTGATGTTATGAAATCTTTGTCAATTTAATCGGAAATATCCTATCTTGAATTCTATAATATGTATCATATTTGTAAACATGCATGATCATGAAATGCTTTTGCAATTTAGTATTTCCTGAAATTCTCGCAATATCAGAGTTTAAATATAAACTAGAACAACACGAGCGCGCTATTGATCATATAACATTAAATTTACATGTTTTTCACTAGAAAAAGAAAAATATATTTATAGTGAAATAAGAATAGGTCATAGAATACGAAAGAATTAAAGAAAATGATAAAAAATGGAAGACCGTATGGTAAAGAGAATAATTAATCTAATTATTCTCCATTTTTTCTTCTTACTATTTCTGTTATCCTTCTCTGTTCCTCTCTTTGTTGTTTTATAATAAAAGATATTCTTCATTTTCTTTCTTTAAAAGTAACACAAGGATAATTCCTTAAAGAGCCCGGCCAAAATGTTCCCCAAAATGGGGCGGTTGAATTTGGGGTCGTCATGGGGAAAAAGTAGATCTGGATGAGCTGAAAACGAAATGGTGCTTTTTACATTGCACTGACACACCGTTCTCGAGATATCCAGTCCGGAAGTCTAGGTGGCCAATATTGGAATTTTAAATTTTAATTGTTATAGATGGCTGCCCAATGGTCATTTCAAGTCCTAAAAATGTGATTAATGGTTTAAAATAAAGTTTGATAGATTTTCTTAAAATAATTTAAAAGCATTTTTTATTTGCCATCTAAAATGGCCGAATGGGGGCGCTTCAAACACTAGGTACTTGAAAATTCATTTTTTCATTGAAGATTTTTCACTTTTTTGACTGATTTTTGACTTTTATCAATTTTTAAATTAATAATAGGAATATACACTATAATCTCCATAGTATTAGCTTTAAAATGAGCTATAGATCATTGGATAAGTTTTCGCTGAGATATCGCAATTTTTACCAATTTGTTTCATCAATGTATAATGATGTAAAGATATCAATAAATTGTTTTTGACTGCGAGAATTTGATTTAAAATGGCTTTTCGTAAAAATCGTCATTTATAAAGATTCAATATTGACTTTCAAAAAACCTTTAGTACATTCATTGACTTTACTCGGCACCTGGACTTCCGGGCCGGATATCTCGAGAACGGTGTGTCAGTGCAACGTAAAAATCACCATTTCGTTTTCAGCTCGTCCAGATCTACAACTTCCCCATGACTACCCCAAATTCAACCGCCCCATTTTGGGGAACATGCATCGCTGGGACTTGGCGGGGTTCTTTTGTCATCATAATACTTTTATTCTCTCTATTACTATTTGAATTTTTTCTACTCACATTTATTGTTTTTTATTCCATATCGTTTTTTCTATCATCCTCACCTATCCTTACCCCTTTTTCTTTCATGTTCCATGACTTATTTTTTCATCCTCTAATGATGCAATGACAAAATAATAAATATGAACAAATGGTTAAAAATAGCACAGAATGAAAAAGAATAAAAGTGAATAAAATATCACGGGCTGATATGTGATAGTAGACTTATTGATAGACAGGATTGGAAATTAATATTATTGGCTATATTAGTAAAAACCGCTATTACATGTGAAGTTAAATTACATACATAATATATACATTAGAGACTAACGCATATGAAACACGAAAGAAATTTAACACATACACATATAGAAATATATATATATCTACCTATAAAAATTCTCCTTTCTTTCTCCCTTTTTTCTTTTTCTTTTATTTAGATTCTTCTTCTGAGACACACAAATCTCTTCTTACATATACATAAGTGCGATAGATCAATGTCTCTTTGACAATTGCAAGCAGTATGAATCTAGTCGCAACGGATCGAGTCAATCGAGACAGTCAAGACAGCCAATCAACATCGCGGAAAGGAAACCTCAATTTCGATACAAAATAAATTCACGATAACACGCACTTTTTATTAAGATAGTTGTTTCCCAACTGTGGTAGTTAAAATTAGATTTTAAATAAAAGGTTCAACAACCGATGAATTCTTTTAAGTAAAAGTGAAAAACATATTTTTAAACATTATTTTCTCAGAATAGTAAAAATCTATAAAATAAATAAAATGATAGAAAAAGAAACAGTATGCTGAATTGCGTTGTAGTCGCGGAACTATAGATCGTGGCAACGTCGCATCTTTATTAGCGCTATGCGACGCCAAGCTATACAACGTTGCCACATCCGTAAAGCATGGTCGTGAACGAAAAAGCAAAAGCCAAACTTATTTTTGCTGATTAATCATACTCTAATAATGTACGACCAATTTCGCTGAGACTGAAGTATGTACTTCTGTAAGTATTCAATTAATTTTGGCCAAATTTTTGTATTAATCCTTATTGTAGATCATTTGCAACTGACAAATGCGCGTTTACGTGTTATTTTTTGTATGTCAGCGCCATGTAAGATATCGAGAAAAAGAGTAAACTATAAGCGGTAATTTTTCGAAAATTATACGGTTAATTGAACCCATATTTAACACACATACGTATTAATACCTAAATTAATTTTGCTACAAGTTTCAAGAAGATCTGTGACTTCACTGTTTTTGACCTAACTACCTTAAGGAGATAATTATACGAAAGATGAAAAGAAAATAGAAATGCTTCTTATTTACGGTGAAAACGGAAAAAGTTTTACGGAAGCGCAGAGAATATATGGCTTAGAGGTATTCTGAAAAACATATACCCGCTTTTGATCGTCTTATCAAAAAATTTCGTGAAACTAGAAGTGTTTGTTCATATAAAAAAATTCGATCTTGTTTGAAAGGTAAGAAGTTGTTATTTTGGCTACTGCAACACACAATCTACATATCAGTTCTCGACAAATACAGATCAAAAGATTCTAGTATTTCCAAGGCAGATATTTTACGTATTCTTAAAGACTACTTATTTCATCCATACTTATTTCATCCATACCATATTTTCTTGCATCAAGAACTTTATGGAAATGATTTTATTAATCGAATTTTGTCAGTGGGCGTTATGACAATTGGAGGTCAATGAATTCTTCAACAGAATATTATTTACTGATGAATCAATTTTTATTATTATTTATGAACAAGTAAATATAAGAAATGTACATTATTGGTCCGTTGAAAATACAAGGTAACTTTAACAAATAGAATGTCAATAAATGGAACTTTAATGTATGGTATTTTACAAAATCAAATCATTAACTCTTTCTTTGTTAACGGTACATTAAATGGCCAAAATATTATTTTTCGTCCTAACAATTCCAATAATTACAATTATTGGAAGAGGTATGATTAAAAACTCGTTGATGTGGTATCAATATGATTGTTGTTCTGATTATAATGTACGCATTACACATACAATTTTACACGAAACGTTTCCGGAACATTAGATAGGAAGAGGAAGAATACATTCATTGTACGTTCTCGTCCCTGATAAACAAAATGTCAGCAATATGCCGACAAATCGCTGGCAAAATCAATCATAGGATTGCAGCAAATTTGCAGCATGTATACTGCCATTATGCTGGCATTATGTCGGCAAAGCATGCCGAAATTACTTGAGGGCAGAGTGCTGCAAAAACCGAACAAGACGTATCGAGCAACGTGTGACGACAAATTTACAGCAAACAGCGAGCAAGACGTGCCGAGCAATGTGTGACGGCAAATTTACGGCAAACTGCGAGCAAGATGTACCGAGCAACGCATGACGGCAAATTTACGGCAAAAATCGAGCAAGATGTGCCGGCTATGAACAGGCCAAAACTACCCGAATAGAATTTGCACCTTATGAGAATCTAGTCATTATATAATAAAATTGTATCCAACAGACACATACACATAGTTATTAGCTAGAGTAACTAGACAGTGATGAACCAATAATGTAACGCTTTTGCGAATAGCTATATGCAATATATTAACTAATAATAAGATAAAAGAAACAACATAATTATGGTAACAAACAAAACTAGTTGCTAGGCAGTATCACTTTTCCTAATGAGGATATAAGTTACCTAATAGTTAGACAAAAAAATATAACTAGTGATGTAGTTTATTTTCTGCATTAGGCATATCTCATCATCAGTAGATAGACTGTCCTAGTTAAAATTTTTAGTTCTATGAAATGCTATTTGTGTCTTAGAGATGACACCAGTGGCTTTTATTATTGAACTCTTCCTAATCATGTAGAACGTAAGTATCTCAGTGTATATTGTCTTGGAAAAAATTCCTTGCTCACATTGGATTTGAACTCGAGATCTTTGGTTCTTCAAGTCTGTCGTCCTATGTTGCATGAGATTTGGCACAACTTGCTCGGCTTTTGCCGTCAATTTGCCATATGTTGTTCGGCACGTCTTGTTCGATTTTTGCCGCAAATTTGCCGTCACGCGTTGCTCGGCACATCTTCGCTATTTGCTGCAAATTTGTCATCACACATTGTTCGGCACGATTTGCTCAGTTTCTGCTATCAATATGCCGTTATACTACTAATGATAGCTTGTCCGGTTTTTATCAGCAGTTTGCTATCACGCTTGCTAACAGGTCGTGTCGCAATATTGCATACATTTTGCCGACATTACTTAATATAGCAAATCGTGCTGCAATTTTATCGTTATTCTGTGGAGAAAACTTGCAGCACGCTTTACCTAAATTTGCTTTTGGCACGTTTGGCTATCAGGGCCTAATTTAAACTCCTCTAAATCTTCTAATCTTTATCCTCTAACTCCTCTAATTCTCTAAACTTTTGTGTGGAAAATATTGAAAAACATTGTTTACAATGATGTACTAACTACATAGGAGAACACGAGAGAGCGCATTTTGGATACATGTACAAGTATAAATTCAGAAATAATAGAAAAGACAAGAGTAATATTTATACATCGTATTTAAAAAATATATGGAAGTATGTATGTCGTGAAGAACATTATTTTAAAGATCTCCTTAAATAAATTTTTGTTAAGGAGCATAAATGTTCCATTTCTTTTTTTTTAAACATACGTAATTTTCTATGTTCAAGAGTATTTAAAGGTCATATTGTCATAAGTTGTTGGATTCCTCTTAGCTATAAAAGCCCGCAGACATATCATTTTATTAAAAAAAAAATATCTTGAATTTCAAAACTCTAAAATGACTAAAATGTCTTTGTAGTCATAATTTTATAGCCCTCTCAAACGATGAGCTTTGTCCTCAATTTTTTTGTATCATCAAAAACCAGTGAGAAATTTAAGATGCTTAAATTAAGTAAACCACAAGATGCACGAATTAAGTGTATATACAATGGCGTATAAAGGTTTTGAGTCAAACTGTTCACTGTTTTTTAAAGATATATTATAGAATAATGAATTACTCTCAATATTAATTATCTAAAATAATTGAAGTAAGAATCACACGTATAATAACATCATACGTTTAATAAATTTTTTAAATTATATTTTCTATTGATTTAGTTGCATAATATTTACCTGCGTTCAAAAGTATTGAGCCATATTTTTATTGTGACTTTATAAGCGCAGTTTGTTTATATTTTTACATGAAACTCCTTCGTACGTATTTGCTTCAACTTCAGTTGCTTGCCGCAGTGCCGAAATATACAGGGTGAATATTATATACCGGAACACCTGAATATCTCGAAAACAAAGCGTTGTATAAAAAAATGTTAAATACAAAAGTTGTAGGGTTTAAAAAGATCTATTTTATGATATTAGCAGTTTGACCTTGAGTTGCGTCATAAAGATCAGGTCAAGGTCACAATGATGTTTTTAAATGGATACCCCCATTTTTTATTGTATATTCTTGTAGCTTATCTCGAGAGCTTTCCAAAACACTATACTTAAGTATTTTTTCGTTAAGTACTTTTCGAGTTAAGAGGCTTCAAAGTTACGCTCTTTAGCATTAGCGCGCGGCCGATTAAGGCAAGAGGAAAATCATATCCGGCCGATTAAGGTAAGCTAAGGCAGAGAAAAACGTAAACACAAGCGCGGTAAACGAGAGCTGCCCTTGCGTTTACGTTTTTTAGGCCATCAGCCTTACGCTATTTACTATTAATACGAGCGCGCGTTCGTGCTCGTCACTACGGTATCCACGCGCGCTAATGCTAAAGAGCGTAACTTTGAAGCCTCTTAACTCGAAAAGTACTTAACGAAAAAATACTTAAGTATAGTGTTTTGGAAAGCTCTCGAGATAAGCTACAAGAATATACAATAAAAAATGGGGGTATCCATTTAAAAACATCATTGTGACCTTGACCTGATCTTTATGACGCAACTCAAGGTCAAACTGCTAATATCATAAAATAGATCTTTTTAAACCCTACAACTTTTGTATTTAACATTTTTTTATACAACGCTTTGTTTTCGAGATATTCAGGTGTTCCGGTATATAATATTCACCCTGTACGAATCTTCAATTACGCGAAGACTTCATACGCAGTAGACATTATGCGGTAGACTTTATAAAGCTACAAAGCACATCAATAAAATAATTAAAAGAAAACTGATAGCAGGTGTTAGAAAAGTGCTTTGAATATTTATCGAGAATTATTAGAAGAAAATCTTGCTAATCCGGAGTAGAATATCTCGACGTCTAAAAGAAGTGGAACTGATAGGACATATTAGTGTTGAAAAATCATTCATTCGTGCAAAAAATAGAAAAGCTTAATTTGATTTTATCAGAAAATATGAACATTGAACTGAAGCTGATTGGCGAAAAGTGTTTTTCTCTAATGAGTCAAAGTTTGAGTTTAAATGATTAAATGACGGTAGAAAATATGTACAACGTTCGATAGACATTAGAAATAGCTCAAGGTACCAAATTCTGACCGTAAAACATGGTGGAGGTAACGTAATGGTTTAAGGATCATTTTCTTATGGTGGAGTTGGTCCATTAATCAAGATCAAGGATAGTATGGACACTATCGTGTATCGGAATATATTGGCACATGTTCTCATATGCAAATTAAAAGACACCATGCGATTAGATAATGATCCAAGCATTCATCAAAACTAATAAAAGAATTTCTTATTTCTAAAAGAATCTAAATTCTTGATTAGTCATCGGAATCTTCGAACTTGAACCCTCAAATCGAATCATCAAAATCATTTATGGCAAAAACTTAAAGTACACACAGGAAATAAGAAATATCTAAATAAGGCTTAATTATGGCAAGATTTATAAACTCAATGGCAAAATTTACTACAAGATCGAATTTCTAGTTTAATCGCATCGATACCTTGTCGTTGTGCTGCAATGATTGCTCCTAAAGACATGACTACGAAGTATTAAATTTAAAGAAAAGTTTACAACACGTTTTATTATCATTTTAAAATTCTTTTGTTTAGTTATACATATAAAATTATGTGACGTAATACCTTTGCACTCTTTGTAATAAAATATTAAAAAAATAAGACATTGGGAGTACAAATAAGTCTCCGCCGTCTTTTATAAAAAATTGGGCATTTATTGTGAAAGAACGGGACCTTATGATTTATTCAAAGTATTGTCCATCGCTAGCAACTACTTTTTCCCATCTTTCTGGCAGCATACGGATACCGCGTCGGAAGAACGCTTCATCTTTTGAGGCTATCCACGAATCAACCCAATTTTTGTTATCTTCATATGATGTGAAGTGCTGCTCAGACAGGCCGTGCGTCATCGATCAAAGCAAGTGATAGTCAGAGGGAGCAATGTCTGGTGAATACGGCGGATGGGATAAAACTTCCCAATTGAGTGTTTCCAAGTAGGTTTTGACCGGCGCCACAACATGTGGACGAGCATTATCATGCAGGAGAATAATTTTGTCGTGTTTGGAGTAGTAGTGCGCGCGTTTTTCCTTGAGTGCTCGACTCAATCTCATCAATTGTGTTCGGTAGAGAGCTCCAGTAATGGTTTCGTTCGGTTTGAGCAACTCATAATACACCAAGCTGATCCCAAATACACAACATGAGTTTTTTTCCATGAATATTCGACTTGGCTGTCGATGTTGAAGCATGATCACGTGGTCTCCATGATTTCCTCTTCTTTGGGTTATCGTAGTGCCAAAAAACCCTTTCGTTTATGCCTGGCAAGCAGCATTTCACATATGCAAAATTGGCGTTCAACGTTTCTCGGCTTCAGTTCATATGGAATCCAATTTCCTTACTTTTAAATCATTCCCAACGATTTTAAACGATGTGAAATTGCTTGTTGAGTCACTCCTAATGTAAGTGCAAGTTCTTCTTGCGTTTGGCACGAATCTTCCTCCAATAATGCTTCCAATTCCGCGTTTTCATACACTTTCGGTCTTCCGCTACGTTCTTTATCTTCGACGTCAAACTCACCGTTCTTAAACTTTTTAAACCACTCACGACAACTTCTCTTACTTAAAGCAGCCTCACCATATGCTTATATAAGCAATCGATGCGCCTCAGCTGCAGATTTCTTCAAATTAAAGAAGTAAATCAAAAGTTCCCGCAAATGACGCTTATTCGGCTCAAAACTCGACATTTTCACACGAAAAAAATTATATGATACTGATACAAAATCGCTAATATTTCAAGGTTATGGTGTTGCCAGATGTCCTACGATGTGACATTTTACATCTGACAATTTCAACCATAACTTACTTATCTTTTGTCAAACGGCGGGAACTTATTTGTACTCCCAATATATAATTATTGAAAGTCTGTCAAGTTTATGTAATTAAAAATGAATACATTTTGTTTATATACAGGGTGCGGCGCCAAAATCCGGACAAATTATACATTTTTTCCAAACATATTTTTTATTGCAAAAACGAAAAGGTTTACAAAATTTTTTTAACCACATTGTAAGGCCATAAAGAACACATTTACTCAATATATCTCCCGCTTGCTTGAATGATCGCCTCCATTCTCGGTTTGAAGCGTGCGCAGGCGCGCTTTAATGTGTCACGGTCCATATCGGTGAATGCCGCTTCAATAGCGGCTCTCAATAATGCGACGTTTGGATGTCTGGACTTGTTCGTGACCCTTTCAACTACGCTCCATACATAGAAGTCCAAAGGATTCAAATCTGGGCTGTTGGGAGGCCAGAATTCTTTCGACCAAAACATGTCGACGTTGTCCAACATCCAACTCGCTTTGTCCTGGCGGTTTCGGAAAGCATCTGTCTCACTTTAATTATGTAAGACTTATAGCGGAGGTCCTCCTCAATGATTCGACGCATAGTTTTCTCGCTCACACCAACAACCGACGACAATTTTCGGATCGACTGCCCTGGATCCTCAAAAATCAGCTTCTGAGCCCGTTGAATGATGTCGGGCGTCCTGACAACGTGCTCCTTCGAGTGGGTTTTCCTCGCACCTTCATTGGACTTCTCTGACTCATTGTACTTTGCGATGACATCATACACAGTCGATCTTGGGTACCCGAAGAACCGAATGATTTCT